TATATATATATATATATATATATATATAAAAGAGACACCTGCGTTATCAACGCAGGAGAATATTTGTAGCTCGGGGTTAAAAGTGAGAGATCCTCGTTGCTCTCTGAGCGTGATGATTTTCTTGCAGATATTTCATTACCAAACTAGGTAACGTCATCAGTGCTAGGGACCCTTACGTTCCCTGACAGGCACTGCTCACATCCAACCCAGGCTTAACCGCTATGGCCCCTCCTCCCAGCCCCAATGTTGAATTCCAGATGGTTAAGAAACAAAAGGGTTTTATTTTGTTGGGCCCAGAAGGCCGACTCTGTTGAGTTCCAGTCATTCACGGCCCAAGGGCCTCCGTCAGATGTTGGAGGAAAGAGGCTCGCGTCTCAAAGCAGAACAGCCTTCAAAGGCCACGCAGTGCAGATTTGAGGTGAGGCCAGAGTGCCAGGCGCTGTTTGCTAATGAAGAGATAACTAAATAAAAACGAGGAAGCTGGAGTGATAAAGCGGGTCCCTCTTCGTTTTGGAATCAGTTCAAGAATTGGAAGCGAACAGTTGCATTTGACGGTTATTGCTTCACCTGCGTCTTGCGCAAGAGTGCAGAAGTGACACCAGGAAGGCGGGGGGGGGGGAGGCTTTCTAGGTTCCCTGAATATCGTTGATCCTGAGAAAAGAGACGCGCCTTAAATAGGGACATCCTGGATTCCGCATTTGAGGTTTGCAGGGACTGCAATGTCTGGGAAAAAGAAGAGAACGGAAGCAATTAGCACAAGCCACGGGGGGCGCAGTGGTTGAGCGCTGCACTGCAGGCTGCTTCTGCTGACTGCAATTTGGGCAGTTCGAATCCCACCGGGCTCAAAGTTGGCTCTGCCTTCTGTCCTTCCGAGGAGAGTAAAACGAGGAGCCAGATTGTTGGGGGGGAAAGAGGCCGACTCTGTCAACCGCTTAGAGACGGCTGGGAAAGCCCTGTGAAACGGTATATAAGTCTAAGGGCCATTGCTATTGTCCTTCCCTCCTCCCTCCCTCCCTTCCTTCCAATTGATTCAGCCTTCCATCTTTCCAAAGTGGGTAAAATGAGGACCCAGATTGTTGGGGGCAAGGGACTGACTCTGTCAACCGCTTAGAGAGGGCTGGGAAAGCCCTGTGAAGTGGTATATAAGTCTAAGGGCCATTGCTATTGTCCTTCCTTCCTTCCTTCCTTCCTTCCTTCCTTCCTTCCTTCCTTCCTTCCTTCCTTCCNTAGAAAGTTACCAACCGGTTCTCCCGAATAGGTGCGAACCGGCTGAATCCCACCACTGAACTTCGCATAGGTGTCGACGCAGGCTTACATTGCAAAGAGGTCGATGGGCAAAAGGTTGCAGACCTCCCAATATTTCAACCACGCATTGTGTGGAGATGTGCCAAACCGCATGCTGAGCGGTTGATCCGACTTCCTGCTGGGAAAATTTTCGGTGCTTTTGTTGGTTTGAGGACCCCCCCTAGCCCAGGGGTGTCAAACTCAAGGCTCATAGGTTGAATCCATCCTGCGGGGCCGTCTCGGTCTACTCGGGGTGAAGATGAAAGGTCAGGCCAGTGTAGCTTCAGCCCGGTCTACCCAGGAAGGAAACATGGCAGCCGTTTGGGGAGTAGCGTCAAGCTAGCCACACAGGGGTGGGATTCAGCTGGTTCGGGCGAAGCAGAAGTTCCGGTGAGCATTTGGCCCTGTCCACCCACCCCAGGCTGTCCTGTCCTATATTTCCATTTTTTTTTAGCCCAGCTGATTCCCATGGCACAGCGGATTGCTGCACATCAGCTGTTTTACTCACAGGCGCTGACATAGAAGGTAAGTTTCAAAGCTTAGGACGGTCATTTTTTTTGAATGCTCTGTGTGTGCAAAGTAGGGTTGCATCCCATCGCTGTAGCCACGCCCACGCAGTTGGCCATGTGTCCCCCCATCCCGAGGTCAACCACAACCCTGATGGGAGGCCCTTCGGATAGTCACCCACACCCTCGTCACCTCAAGACTGGATTACTGTAACGCGCCCTACATGGGGCTGCCCTTGAAGAGCGTTCGAAGACTTCAGTTAGTCCAGAACGCAGCCACGCGAGCAATTGTGGGTGCACCTAGGTACACCCACATTACACCTATCCTCCGCGAGCCCATTGGTCTCCGGACACGCTTCAAGGTGCTAGTCGTTACTTTTAAAGCCCTGCATGGCATCGGACTTGGTGACCTGAGAGATCGCCTCCTGCCAATTACCTCCCAAAGACCGACTCGATCGCACAGACTAGGCCTTCTCCGGATTCCATCTGCCAGCCAATGCCGGCTGGCGACCTCCCGGGGGAGGGCCTTCTCTGTTGCAGCTCCGGCCCTCTGGAACGACCTCCCCGTTGAGATCCGGACTCTTACTACCCTGCCGGCCCTTCCGTAAAGCGACTAAGACCTGGCTGTTCCGGCAGGCCTGGGGCTGTTGAAGTATCCAGCCCCAC